CCTTGACTTCAGTGATGCTATCCCATGTCTTTTCATTTGGTCATTCGACCAGTCTAGTTGCCGTGACTTCAGTGATGCTATCCCGTGTCTTTTCATTTGGTCATTTGACCATTCTAGTTGCCCTGACTTCAGTGATGTTATTCCATGTCTTTTCATTTGGTCATTTGACCATTCTAGTTGCCCTGACTTCAGTGATGCTATCCCATGTCTTTTCATTTGGTCATTTGACTATTCTGGTTGCCCTGACTTTAGTGATGCTATCCCATGTCTTTTCATTTGACCATTCTCGTTGCCCTGACTTCAGTGATGCTATCCCATGTCTTTTCATTTAGTCATTTGACAATTCTAGTTGCCCTGACTTCAGTGATGCTATCCCATGTCTTTTCATTTGGTCATTCGACCATTCTAGTTGCCCTGACTTCAGTGATGTTATCCCATGTCTTTTCATTTGGTCATTCTAATTGCCCTGATTTCAGTGATGCTATCCCATGTCTTTTCATTTGGTCATTCGACCAGTCTAGTTGCCTTGACTTCAGTCATGCTATCCCATGTCTTTTCATTTGGTCATTTGACCATTCTAGTTGCCCTGACTTCAGTGATGTTATCCCATGTCTTTTTATTTGGTCATTTGACCATTCTAGTTGCCCTGACTTCAGTGATGCTATCCCATGTCTTTTCATTTGATCATTCGACTATTCTGGTTGCCCTGACTTTAGTGATGCTATCCCATATCTTTTCATTTGACCATTCTCGTTGCCCTGACTTCAGTGATGCTATCCCATGTCTTTTCATTTAGTCATTTGACAATTCTAGTTGCCCTGACTTCAGTGATGCTATCCCATGTCTTTTCATTTGGTCATTTGACCATTCTAGTTGCCCTGACTTCAGTGATGCTATCCCATGTCTTTTCATTTGGTCATTCTAATTGCCCTGATTTCAGTGATGCTATCCCATGTCTTTTCATTTAGTCATTTGACAATTCTAGTTGCCCTGACTTCAGTGATGCTATCCCATGTCTTTTCAATTGGTCATTCAACCATTCTAGTTGCCCTGACTTCAGTGATGCTATCCCATGTCTTTTCATTTAGTCATTTGATCATTCTAGTTGCCCTGACTTCAGTGATGTTATCCCATGTCTTTTCATTTGGTCATTTGACCATTCCAGTTGCCCTGACTTCAGTGATGCTATCCCATGTCTTTTCATTTGGTCATTCGACCATTCTCGTTGCCCTGACTTTAGTGATGCTACACCACCCCACTATCCTGAAATGTATGGTAAATGTTGGGCCATGAAATTTTATAAATATTTCGTTAGCTGGGTGCGATATATGGACAGATGACAGTTTGCACTACAAAGACTTTAAACTTAATGTGACATTCAGAAGAAATGTCTTATGCAAAGTGTTTTCAGTGATGCTAGCCTACATGAATGTCCTTTGGGAAAGAAGACAACACTGCAATTGCAGAGTAATACAATGGACCAACACATCACATACTACTAATGCACTTCTTTCAATAAAACACTAATATTCACAAAAGCTCTTATGACATTTGATTTTTAATGGGCAATTTTATACTGGTGTATCTCATGCTTGCAAATGGTTTTTAATGCACAATTCAATAGACTCAACCACTTTGGAAAATATTTTATTCAAATCAAATAATCTGATCTGCATAAATTACAGCTACTGACCCTTTAACTAGTTCTCTAGAGTGACTGACCCTTTAACTAGTTCTCTAGAGTGACTGACCCTTTAACTAGTTCTCTAGAGCGCACTGTAACTAATAAATAATATAAATTATTCTCTGACGTGTGTCAAATAAAATATAAAAAATTATTAAAATAATATTACTGGTTTTACATTGGCAGGAGATGGGCAGGTAAAAATGTTGACATGTTTGCATTATAAGTAGGTATGCAATTTCATGGACAATTAAAATTAACGATTTGTGGTACCATATTTCCTCTATTAGAAGATCATGTGCTGATGTGACAGTTCAGATTAAAAACATTTTTTAACATCAGCAGTTTAGTGATGCAAAGCATGCACTATAATATCACAATGTGTAGAATGGTTCTTTTTTATAAGATCGTATTTTTGGCTCATTTTATGTAAAAATATGCAACTGAGTAAATAGACAATAATGTGGTTTCAAAAATATCTATTGTACATTAAGATTCTACACTTTAAAATTTGCATCATTTACATACAAATTAAGTGAAAATACCAAACAAACTATTAGAATTTCAAGATCTTTGTGAATTATAAAAATTTTGAGATCTTTAGGAGGGCCACAGTGAATTTTTGAAACAAGTCGCTGTGAATGCCAAAAAAAAAAAAATGATTCACCGGTTTACTCTAGATAGTTATATCTCATATACACATCTATATATATCTTTATACAATATAGTAGATAGAAATGTTGTACATCATATACATGTTCACTTTGCTGAAATTCTGAATAAGGCATGACAACTAGAAAGTCCCTTGCAATTTATATTTCTTGTAAATAAGGTTAACCAATCAAAGCCAAGATTGTCTATTTATAGAAACAATATGCATAAATCAAATATGGTGGATTGCATGCATCACATGGCTAGTTTTAACCAATCATATGCTATTTCATAATAAAATAGTTCAATCTTGTTGAAAATAAACCAAATTTCTAAATTTTAGATCAAAACCCATTAGTAATGTTAAATACATTTATTTATCTCAAAATTAAAAGAGAATAACTAAAATGATAAGAAATGTGCAATAATTTTGGGCGGGGAAAATACCTGCCTTTGTATTCACAGATTTGTATCATTTTCAATCAACTCATTTAAAGCACAATAAAAACAATCTTTTTATTATCAACCTGTAAAGTCTGAAGAAGATTCTTCCAACAGTCCAAATACTTATACAGTATAAACCTGAAGATACTTCAATTTTCTATTGCTAGTTTAAGGTAATGTTTCCAAGAATTAAAATGTAAATTTTTTAACTCAAAGCCAATCAGAGTGCCTCTAGCATAAACCAATCACAATCACTCTACCATAGTGGTTATATGTACATATGTGTTTTCAGTAGCGACTGCCAAGTTTGGAAACAAGCTATGTTATGTATGACATTACTTAGACTATATTTAACAGCGTCCGGATTACTTTCGAAATTTCCGTCGCATTTCGGAAAGTTTTAATTTTCAAAACTTTTGAATATTTATTTGTGCTTTTAGGTTAGTGAGAAGGTTATAATAATTCTTCATTTCAATTTAACACTGTTTTTACACCCCTCAGACCCCTTTAAAAAGTCACTTCTGGCCATTATAATGA